AAGGCGTTTGTGGTTTGCAGGTATGTGTAATTACTGGGTTCTGCTGTAGCACCACTGGGTTGTACAGTGGCTATCCATTTAGTTTTCCTTTATGCCTAAGTATCTGAGAGCCAAAGCATTCTGCTGTGTTTTCTCCATCCCTGTTTGTCTTGTACTGTGACTCCCCTGGGGGAGAGGTGAAGGGAGGGGTGCAGAGAGGCTATTCTAGTGTGGTGGCTGATTTTCATAAGATGTGCTTTGAAAAAAAAAACAGGATCAATTTTGCCTTCAGTTGTCTGATCAGTAAAATGCCATTGATTGTAACAGGGACCCACTGTTTAGTCCACATTGAAGAAGGTTAGAGGAGGGTGGGCTGGAGAGCTCGGTCTTGTTGCTCATGGATATAAAATGAGTGCATGTCTATGGTAGGAGTTCTTGGTTGTCTTTGACTATCAAAACGGAAGGTTTCACACAGTGCAAAGCCAGCTTCTGTGTCAGCAAATGCTGTTGTCACTTGAATGATGGAGGAATGTTTCACGAGCAAGTGATGCTCAAGATATTGCCAGCAGCACTTAGTAAGACAGATGCTTCTGCCGTAAAGATACTGATATGTTCAGATGACGCCTGAAGCTGAAGCCCAGCGAGATGGCTCAGCGGGGAGATGTGCTTGTCCCCAAGCAGGGAGATGGGCTTTCCCCAAGCCTGGTGAGCTGGGTTCCACCCCTAGAACCCATGTGGTAGAAGGAGAGAGCTCACCATTGGAAGCTGTCCTCTGACATCCACACATATGCTGTGGTATGCATGTGAGCACCGTCTCTCCTGCCACACATACACACAGTAAAAGAGGTTTTGTTTTTAAGCCAAGCTAGCAGCATGGAAATTTCAAGGCCAGCCAATCTCACACAGTGAGACCCCTTTTCAAAAAGAAGATTTAGTTATTGTTGTTACAAATTAAACTTGTTCTATCACGGACCACCCCTCCCTCCAGTAAAGTTAACTTTAAACAACTGATCCCAAAGTAATATCGCCTGAATACACACTAGGCTCTAGTATAAGCTCTCTGTTTGCTTTAGAAATGAGTTAGGTAAGTATGAAAGTGTTTGTTCTTTAGCTTTCTGTCTCTGCCCATATGAGTATTAGAAATACCAGCTTGGCCCTATGCCGTGTTTTCTGTTAAACGGAGCACGTGATTGTATCCAGAGGCTGAGAGGAGGCAGAAAGCCATAGGCCAGACAGCAGCCATCCTGGAGGCTGAGCCAAATCTACTTGGTGCTGATGCCTCAGTGCGGAAGGACACAGAGACCCAGCACCCACAGCATGGAATCCCCTGTCCTGTACAGTCCCTCACCTAGTAACCAAACAGACTTTTAGTTTGAAGTTCTGGAGGGGCATGTAGGGAAGAAGTTTTAGAAGTATATGTCCTTTTTTTTATTCATGTGATACTGATACAAATTTGATGTAGTAGTGTCCTTTATCATTAAAGAACTAAATTTCTAATCAAGGCAAAATTGCAATTTATTAAATTTAATAAATAAAATAATGTAGAAAATAAAATATAATATATTAAATAAAGTAAAAATATTAAAAATTATTAGTGTATATTCATTGTACAGAATAGTGGGTTTCATGATGACTGACCAGGTGACCGATCATGAATGAATTCTGTGTACTTCACACTCACATTACCTAGCCTCTTTCAAACGAATCAAATATCTCATCTTATTATTTCTTACAAAGATTACAAAGTAGATTGGGGGGAAGGTAAAAAACTCAGAGTGGTAGAAATTTATTAGGTTCCTATTCTTAGTCTCATCAGAAGAGTGACTGACAAACTCAGTCTTAGGAGTATTAAGCAGCCTCTGTGAAAGCTGTTCTGAGAGGAGACTGGCGGTGAGCTAGGTAAACACTCGCTCAGCACACGGAGGCTCTGACTTCCTCCGCGGCGTGGGGCGGAGAAGGTACAGATCCACTGGGTGCTTCGTAAGTTTTCCTGAAGAAACCCCGAGAACATGCACCCCATCACAGCACATCTGTCCTGCACTGGGCTGTTTTCCTCCAGAATGAGACCCTTGTTTAGCTTTGCAAGCTCCTGGTTCCTTCAGCAGTGGCTGTCATGTGCTTGCAACTACAAGGGAATCCTTCGGTAATGCAATTCAAACCACTGTGTGATTTAAACTAGAAAAGTTTAAGTTAGCTACAGTAAAGAAAAAGTAAAAAAGAAATAAAATGAGACGATTTAATATTTTACTTAACCGTACAGCTGAAGTACTCTCTTAACAGGCACTCACTATTAGGCTGTTTTATATGTCTCCCCTCCCCGGTGACTTGTGGTTCTCGGCGTGTGTACTGAGCACATGCCAGGTTAGACTTGGCTGATCTCAGTGCAGTCACACCTTACAGTGAGAGGATGGTATAGCTAAAGGAGCAGTTGAGGCTACAGCAGCAAAGTAGGGGTTGTTGTCAAATGAGGAGTTTGCACTGTAGTCTAAAGGCTGTAAACCCCAAGGGAGGGTAAGCCTAGAAGCAAGCTTTCAACTGTGAGTTTAGGAGACTTAGGAACGGGGCTCAAGCAAAAAGCATGCTAGATGGTTGCTAGAGTGTCCAGGTAAGGAGGGACAGGAGCCTGAGCACAGGGAACACAGACCAAAGGAAGTGTGTGTGAGCCACTTAGCCGGAAGACCGTTACATTTGGTGGTGCTCTGACCTGCAGAGAGGAGCTGGAGTAACCTAAGATTTCCTTTCTGTTGGGTTTTCACTGCTATCGGTGAGCCGATAATACTGCAAACCAAACCGTAAGCGAGCAACTGTAAGGGGCAGGTGAACTCAGTATGAGCTGTGCTGACTGACTTTGAGGGTCTCTGAAATAGGCCCCAGGGACTCCTAGTTAACATGGGAAAGAGTGCCCAGAGAATGTAGCAAGGCTGTGTAGAGACACAGCGGAGACTGGAGGTGTGAAAAACCGCGGTAAGCAATAGCAAAAGTTACAAAGCTGAGGGCACAGTGGAGAGGGAGAACCGAGTAGCAACTGGGGTGGACATTGTCACAACCCTTTCCTACGGGGCTGGCTGGGATTGAGGCTGAGGTCAAAGCTGGCCTAATGCAGTTCGCAGCCAAGTTCTGTTAGGCTTATATAGCATTGGGTCTCACGGTGTTCTAAATTAATGTTAGGTGCTAACACAGCCTATAAAATGTGGGTTCTACACAAGACCCACATTTTATATTACTTCTAAATTTACTTTTTTTAAAATAAAAATTCTAGGAGGAAGAGTCAACAGTGTGGGTAGTAACGGCCCCTGGAGGTGTGCCTTTCTCTGCAGACGTCTGCTTCGCCTTTCACAGGCTCAGAAGACATCTGAGCCCAGGAGCAGGAGTTAATGAGCACACAAAGATAGATCAGTGACAGATTACGGGGAACTTTGGCCGCAGACAGAATACAGGATGTAGGCTGTAGGCTGTAACGAGCAGCTTTTGGTGAGACTAAAGCCCTAATTAGGAAGATTATTCTGAAGCAGTGTGAAAACAGAGAAGTTTAAAAATTACCAATTTTTATTTTTTCAATTAAAAATTTTAATTATTTATTGTTATATATTTGGGTGTTTTGGCTACATGTATCTCTGTGTGCTGTGTGCGTGCCTACAGGGGTCAGAAGAGGGTATCAGTCACCTGGGACTAGAGTTAGACACAGCTGTGAGCTGCCATGTAACCCAGGACCTCTGGAAGAGCAGCCAGTGCTCTTAACTGTTGAGCCATCTCTCCAGTCCCGGTGACCAATTTTTAATGAAGAGAAATGAGATATCCCAGTTCCCCTCTGCCACATTAGTTACTTGGGCCGTTGAGCTTGGTAGGAAATTTGCTTGCAGTCTCCTAGAACTCCAGTGGATGGTTAGTTTATAAGGGACAATGAATGCTAGGGTCAAAAGGAAAAGTCAAACAAAATATGCTTCCCAGCTATCTGTGGCGCAGGTTACCATAGACCCTGCTTTACTGGCCTTTACGAGGAGAGAAATATCCTTTATTCCCCCTCCCCCATCGCTACTCCAGCACAGCCAGTATCCAAAAGATCCTGTGTATAAAGGGTGGCCAAACCAAATATCCGTTCCTTAACCGTATGCTCGCTATTCCTCCAAGATGGTGCTAGCATTGGCTAAGCCTAGGGCTTGCATACGCTCTGCAGGTGCTTCAGTCTGTCCCAACTCTTAAGTTCTCTGTGCATATGTTTTACTTGATCCTTATAACCACCCTTGAAATAGATGCTGTTGCTATTTCCTTATTGTAGACAAACCGAGATCCTAAAACATACTCAGCCATGGGGCTTGCTGAGCTAGGACCACAGCTTGGATCTGGCAGTCTAAGAGATCTGAGCACTATAAATTGTTTGTTATCTGTATTTACTGACATACCACACGGAGCTTACACCTTCATGTAAGAAGCTCTGGTAGAATGTACTGCAAGGGCATCAGTTTTGTTCTGGTTCCCAGAAGAAATAAAACTCCGAAGATGACCTTTAGCCATCTTCCAGGGCGCAGGCAATATTCCAGGTCTCCTGTCTCCTTTGAACACTGGCTCGTTGTTAGTGTGTGCTGATTTGTTTACTAAAATAATAATTATAGTAATAACTCATCTTTTGAAATTGTGGTCTTCTGAGTCAAAGTCTTGCTGCATGATCCAAGCTGCCCTGGATTGTACTATGCAGCCAGGATGGCTTTGCAGTCTTAATCCTGCCCTAGTCTGTCAAGGGCTGGGATTACAGCGTGTGCCACCACACTCCGAAAAACCATTCTTTTTATGCAAGCTAAATCATGATAGATTTTCTTGATATGTTTTTCTAGATCACAGAATTACCACAGGATCTGCTTTATTTTAATTTTGAAGGGGGTTGGAGTAACCTTGCAGAGGGAAAACCCACAGTTGATGTTGAATGATGCAGTCTTGTGAGGTCGTGCGGTTTAGTGACACATGCCTGCAGTCTTGTGAGGTCGCTCCTCCATACTCAGTGTCCCTTCCTGTCTCTTGACCTGCAGATGAACCACGTAAAGAAAAGGTTTCAAGATGTAAGCAACAAGGAGGTGCTGTTCATGTGCATTGGCGTCACTTCGGGAGTTGGACGGCTTCTCTTTGGCCGAGTCGCAGACTATTTGCCCGGTGTGAAGAAGGTCTACCTGCAGGTACTCTCTGGGCTCCCCTTCCCCTATAGATGGAGGTTACCTGCAGGTCCTCTCTCGGCTCCCCTTCCCCTATAGATGGAGGTTACCTGCAGGTACTCTCTGGGCTCCCCTTCCCCTATAGATGAAGGTTACCTGCAGGTCCTCTCTTGGCTCCCCTTCCCCTATAGATGGAGGTTACCTGCAGGTCCTCTCTGGGCTCCCCTTCCCCTATAGATGGAGGTTCACCTGCAGGTCCTCTCTGGGCTCAGACCAGGCTGACCTTGAACTCAGAGATCTGCCTGCCTCTGCCTCCTGAGTGCTGCATTTAAGAGCTTGCCACTGTCACCAGCTTGCAGACAGATTTTCAAGGACAAAGTAATCAGATTGCCTGCTAGGTGTTATGGAGTGTGCTTAAACAGATACTAATTCCAAGATTATTATAGATGACCAGCTCACAGTTGAAGTGAGTCTTTCTCTTACCAGAGCTCCGCAGCTTGCTAGGCGCTGCAGAACTCAGCACATTCCGTGATCCCTGGTTAGTAGTCAAAGGTCTTAGGGGACATGATAGCACAGTCTTACAGCTCAGTGAGATAACAGCTCCCCGGGAAAATCTGAATCTTAGTGAGGATCGAAAGAGCATAAAGGCAGGAGAGCTACTTAAGGAGCCGGGATGTAACTTAGTGATAGAGCTCACCCTGCGTGCACACGGGCCTGGTTTGTTCCAGCATCACAGAAAAGTGGATTTCTGTAAGTGAGTAGGTAGTAGGTGGACAGAGACAGAGATAATGAAGAGAAGAAAAGAATGTCCTAAGCGGGGAGAACACAGGGCCCATAGATGTGTGTGCATGTGTGTGCGTGGGTGCATGTGTGCGTGCATGTGTGCTCGTGTGTGTGTGTGTGTACGAGTATGTGTGCATGTGCGTGCGTGCGTGCGTGCGTGCACATGCGTGTGTGTGTGTGTGCACGCACATGCGCACCTAGGGAGCTGGGTGCTTGAAAGGCAGAAAGGAAGAATAGTAGGGTATAGCTGGAGGAAGGCCAGGTTAGGAAGACACTCATGGGCATGAAAGTTTATGGCCTTCCATACACAATGGTGCATGGAATCGTAGCACCGGAGGTGGGGGGTGCATAGGCAAGAAGATCAACACAAGTTCAAGGGCAGCCTGCTCTACATAGCAAGTTACAAGCCAGCTGGGGCTACGCAGCAAGACCCCCACTTCAAAAAACCCAGCCAAACAAACAAAAACGAAAAATGTCAGTGTACCTCGAGTCATTGCAGAGTTTTAAGGCAGGCACTGACATGAGCAGTGTTTTATGAAGATCAGTCTGGTGATGGAAGGAAAGTGCAGAGGAGAACGGGGCAGGACTTGACAGTTACAAAAGGCCATGTTGATCTGCAAAGTCTAGACTAGGCAGGTCATTAAGAAGGTAACTGCGTGGGCTTGGGGGTTAGGGAAGATGATGGTTTCTTTTGGGGGTGGTGAAACGGTCTGAACTAAGATAGGAGTGTCAGTCTAATAACACACACAAGCTGTGTGGGCTTTATAGCAGGATTAGAGGCAGTGACACGTTGCAGGATGTGAATTGGAGACTACTGATGGGGTCTAGAAAGGAAAAAAAAAACAAGGGGACACCATTGGGACCAAGCAGTAAATCCAAGGTAGAGAGAGCGGTGCCATTTATGCTATCTACGCTGAGGTCTGTCGCTTGGCTAACGGAGAGGTGGTTGCATCATCCGCTGAGACTAGTACTTCAGTGAGTCCAAGGAAGACAAGCTGCAATTGCCACATTCGTGTATGGTGCCTATAAAACAGCCAAGCTGAGCCTGGAGCTCGACGGTGGGTAGACACTGTGGGACTTGAGCATCTTGGGCTGCCAGGGAACCAAAAGGAGTGACCAGGTGACTAGAGTGCTTCTAGGGACACCAGTGACCAGCAACATCAGGAACTCGTGAAGTGGCTGAAGTTAGAGGCCACTGGTGACCACACAGATGAGTAAATGAGGGTATAGGTGACTGTATGCAAAGGACGGAGAGCCAGAGAGAGACGCAGGGACTCATCATGGGAGGTCGTGTGAGCAGCCTCATGAAAGGTGAAACGGGGGAACAGGAAGGTCCGGGGAATGGGCGTGTGTTACAGATAAAGTAACTCCATTAGTCAGCTAGAATAATGATGAGTTAGGCGTGTAAGTAGTTACATTACTGACACTTCAGCTAGAATAATGATGAGTTAGGCGTGTAAGTAGTTACATTACTGACACTTTGAGGAACCGAGTGCTTCTTGCGCTCCGTCTCCAGCCCTTGACCCAGCCCTTGAAGGAAGGCACAGTTCTTTGCTTCCACTTATGGATATGAACACTTAGGAACAGAGTCTGCCTTGCTGTGGGTCCAAGCAGACAGTCACTGGCCAGCGTCTGTTACACAGCTAGAAGGAACTGGAGACGGCGGCTGCTGTCTGCCTCCTCCCACCAGTGCTGGGAGTAAGATCAAGGCCTCCTCCATATTTATGTTCTCTTACAAAATACAGAGCCAAGTCAGGCACAGTGACGTAGGCCTCAAGTCCCAGCACTCGGGAGGCAGATGCAGGCAGGGTTCCGGCTTGGTCTTCGTAGTATATTCTGGGACAGCCAGGGCTATGTAGAGAGACCCTGTCTCAAGGAAGGGGGGCTTTTAAGTAGCTCCTTGAGTAAAGCTGTGGGCCTCAAGCCTGATGACCTGAGACTGATGCCCAGAATTTAAGGAAAGGTAGAAGGAAAGAGCTGTACTCTACTAAGTCATCCTGTGACCTTCACATGTGTTCTGTGGCATGTACCAACCCCCAACCCTACACACACTGGGCACGGTGGCTCACACCTGTGATCCAGTACTTATGAGGTAGGAGTGCCAGCCACACGAGGGCAGCCTGGGCTTCAGCTTGAGACTCTGTCTCAAATACTATGGAAGTATTTATCTATTTTAGGATAATCATTCCACCCTTTATAATACTTCATTGTAGATATACTTACCTAACATTTTGCTGACCAGTTAGGTTTGATTTCTAATGTCAAGGTGCCCTCTTCTGGACATCTGTTGTACTGAAGATTTTCAGCTTTCATTTTGTAGAATTAATTCTGAATACTTCCTGTGCTCTTAGACATTAGCCCAGGTAGAGTGGCACAAACAGGACAGACAAGGTCCCTGGGTGCCTAGAACAGGATCCTAGCTGGGGAAAGCTAGGTAGTTTTGGACGGAGCAAGGGGGACCAGCATGGAGGAAGGGAGGATGCAGAGAGGGGGCAGTTAGCCATGTCTTCAGAACGAAGATTAGAGATTTTACTTTGTTGGAGAATGTTGGTATAGTTTTCAATAATTTAGGGTTGGTAGCTAATTGGCCCATAACTGTTTCAAAAACATGTCCTGATCTGCCTTGAACTTGTCTTGGGGTCTGGAGGGTGAAGAAGAAGTCAGCCATCTTGGGAATTCACCACTTTTATTACCTACATATGGTCCCTCTCCCACCTGCCTGCCCACCAAGGTATTTGTCAAGTTCCTAGTTCCTCGTATGGACATCATGTCCGTCTGTGTGGACCCAGGTGCCCGGGGACTCTTGTGCTCATCCTGCGTGGGGTCCAGGATAGGCTGAGGGTGGGAGGGGCTGAGAGAACTCTCCTCTTCACGTCTGCCTGTGTGTAAACTGTCTTCCTGTGAAGAAGATGGCACTGCTCAGTGTTGTCTGAGCTCTGCCCTTCATTTACTTATCAGTAACTTTTTACATGGAGGGATGAGTTTACCAAATATTTAGATGGAATCCCAGTACTTAACTTTCCCCAGACTGAATCAGAGGCCCTGCAGCCTCGTTTAGGCTGACACTGCTGTGAATGTGACCTGTTCCATAGAGAAAGTCAGACATGCTCCCCCATTCTCTCCCTCCATATGAAACACTTCAAATGTACCAGAGGCCCTGTGTGCTTCAGAAGAATCAGTTAGCGCAGGATGAACAGGACGTAGCTGCTTTCTCCCTTGGTTACAGCCAGGTTACCGTCTCCGGGTTACCGTCTCGGGGTAAAAGCTGTACAGGTCTGGAAGCACTGTGTTAAATAGGCGTATCAAGGGCAGCATTCGAATCTAACTTCATCCAATTATGTGTCTACCTTAACGGACGCCTTATGCTTGCTCAGATGGAGCTTAGCTTCCAGGGGAGTCCAGTGTCTGAGTAGAACAAGTCAGTGTTTTCTCCCCACAGTGCTGTGCTTAGAAGAAGAGAAAAAGCTTGTGTAATGAAAACCGGGTTCCTGTATTGACAGATCAATATTTGTTCTGTATATTTAATATTTATTTGGAAATGATAAGGAAGTACTGATCCTCCTGTGTGGACAATTTATCAAACCTTGACGTGCTTCCTGTGGCCTGGGAATCTCTGCACAAAAAGAGCAAATATTTATTCCTCACAGCAGTTGACCAGCTTGGACATAAACTCTACTGGGAACTAGCATTATTTTTTTTTATCACCGTAGTCACTGCCGATGCAAAACACAGCCCTCATCTCAAAAAGAGTAAGGTATTCTGGAGCCAAACAGGAGTGACCTTGGTTCCAGAACACAGATTAGGTTACTCCAAACTCCATGCTCCCAAGTGGGGATGTTTGCTGAGGTGTTTACAGCAGCAGAGCATTCCTAAGGCATCAGGCAGGGGGATTAAAGCGAAGGGAGGAAATGGACCCTAGGCCTAGGCACCACCCGAGGGCATCGCAGCCGTTTGGTTGGTGGTATCGGTGCACTGAAAGTTAGGTGGCCTCGAATGTTTCTGTGGGGTATGGGGAGTCAACTTCTTCCTGAGAACTTTCCTTCAATACAAATAAGGTAAAAGGGGGCTGGAGAGATGGCTTAGAGCTTAAAAGCACTGACTGCTCTTCCAGAGGTCCTGAGTTCAAATCCCAAGCAAGCACATGATAACAACCACAACCATCTGTAATGGGATCTGACGCCCTCTTCTGGTGTGTCTGAAGACAGTGACAGTGTACTCACATACATAAAATAAATAAATCTTTAAAAAAAGAAAACTTAAAAAAAAACAAATAAGGTAAAATAAACTAGGCATTCTTCTGAAGTGCCCAAGGAAGTGTTATCTATGTGAATGACCTTAAAAAGTTCAATCCCCAAAGGAAAATAACAAATTTATTTAATCAAATGAATAAATCTTATCCTTTTTCATTCTATATGTATATTTTCGCTGCATGTATACCTGTGCAGCACAAACATGCCTGGTGTCTACTGAGGCCAGAGAGAGCATCAGATCCCTTGAAACGAGTTCAGATGGTTGTGCGCGGCCATGGGGGCCCCAGGAATAGAGCCCCGGTCTCTGGGGGTGCAGCTGGTGCTCGTAACCACTGAGCCATCGCTCAGTGCCACGTTAGTAAGCCTTACAGTAGGCATGGTAGTACATCTGTACTGCTGTGCTCAAAATGCTGGGCAAAGGGACTCCAAGTCTGAGGACAACCTGGGGTAGATTGGTATACCACGTCCCTAAGGAGCAGCGACAGTAATAAATCTTGGCCAAATAACTGAGAAGGAAAGAACATAACTTAATATAGGTTAACATGAAGAAAGGTCTTGCAGTTAGGTAAAGATTAGGAAATGCCCCAGATGTAAACCTTAAAAATCAATCAAAAAATGCTGACCGAAGACAAAAATTTTTAGGAGGCAAAAAAGTAGAAAAATTTGGGAAACCACCAAAACTAAAGAGCCTGGACTTCGTTATATCATGTTAATAGCTCCATGGAACATATTAGGTGACATTGAGTGGGCCAAATACTGTCCGAGATTGTCAAGTTCCAAGTGGCTATTAGCTGCCTGCGTGCTAAGTTTAAACTCCAGACCTGGTCTTCTTGACAGAAATTAGTATTGAAAAACATAGGAAGAGAAATAAGGGGAGTGTGTGTGTGTGTGTGTGTGTGTGTGTCTGTGTCTGTGTGTGTTGTACTTATGGTGAGGTAGCTGGAAATTTGGCCTGTGATTTTACTGGCGAAGGGCATTGAATTTGAACCAGGCATGACAGCTCACACCTGTAATCCCTAGCATCCAGAAGATGGAGGCAGGAAGATTGTGAGTTCAAGACCAGCCTAGATACATGGCCTGATCTATTTCAGCCAAGTCAAGCAAGACAAAAGAAATTAATTAGGATAGTTTAGATTTCCTGGATTTTGTTGGACTGCAAATGTTTCTAAGACCCTCTATGTTCCTTCCATAGTTGTAGATAGAACAAAAAGCTCTCTCTCTCTCTCTCTCTCTCTCTCTATATATATATATATATATATATATATATATATATATATGAATGAATAGTCGGCTTTGTGTCTCCCAATCACTGCCACCTCTTCCTGCTTCTTGAGTAGAGACTAGACGTTTTCTTTAGCCCGATGTTCAGGGAGCTGTTGGCTTCGTTGGCTTCTGGTGTCACTTCTGGGAGCATCTTAAGACAGCTGAGGCATCGTGTGTCTACAGAACCTGGCTAACTTTTGGATAAAAATAACTCCTTAACTCTTTGGCCTCTTGCTACCTTTTCGACATTTTGGTTATATTTAGGCCTTTTGTTTCCAGCATCAGAATGTCTTTTGCTTGTTCAGGATCCTAGGAGCTAGAGCCTGGTTGTGTTGGTTTTAAGTCAACCTGGTACAAGCTAGAGTCATTTGGGGGAAAGAACTCTCAGCTGGGAACATGCCTCTGTAGACTGGCCTATAGGCACATCGGACAGGCATTTTCTTGATGCGTGATGTGGGAGGGTCCAGCTCACTGTGGGCAGGGCTGCTTCTGGGCAGGAGGGCCTGGGCTGTATAAGGAGGCAGACTGAGCAAGGGACGGTGAGCAAGCCAGGAAGCAGCACTCTGCTGTCTTTGATGATGGACTGTGGGGCGGGGCTGTAAGCTGACGGAAACCCCTTCCTCCCCAAGCTTGCTTTTGGCCGGGCTGTTTTATCTCAGCAATGGAGACCACATGCAGGCAGGCCTTACTCTTACGTCTCTTACTCACTACTGTGAAACTACACTTAGGCTTTCATTGATGTTGGGTCAGAGAAAAAAAAGACGTTTCAGTTTTTTAAAAGTGGGAGACTGGAAGATTTTCTTCTTTCAGAAAGTTTGTACGAAGCTGGGTTTGGTGGTACACACTGTAATCTCAGTGCTTTGGAGGTGGAGGCAGGAAGGTTGTGTGTTTAAGGTCAGAATATCTATTCTCCCCCCATTTTTGTTCCCACTGTGCTTTAGATCCACAGTTATGATAATATCAAGACTACACAGTAAACTACCCAGCTGTGTATCACAACGGGGTCAGAAAGCCAGCCTGGATTGTGACTGTTTTTAAGTCTGTCTCTTAGTGCTACGTCAATGTCCGTATGTGCTGCAGTTGGTGACAGCTGCCATTCCAAAGGTCAGTTTCAGATATCATTCTTCAGGAACTGCCTGTGTTTCTGACACAGCTCCCTCCAGAGGTCCTGTTTCCAACCTCTCAGCACACACCACTGGCCACCACGCCCGTTCTTTTTCTGTGGCTGTATAGCATCTGACTCAGGAGCTCACGCTCTTATGGAGTTTTACCAATGGAGCTATCCCTCGAGCCTGAAAACTGCCACTTGTGAATCCCACCCTCTCAGATTCTGTGCCCCTAGAGCCCTTAGGTTGTGAGTAGCTTCCCTGATGTGCACAACCAAGCTTGGTGTGGTGATAGGTTCTGTCAACTTGACACAAATTGGAGTGGGCTGGGACCAGGAAACCTCAGGTTGTGGGCTTGGCTGTGAGGCGTTTTCTTGACTAATGATTGATGGAGGAGGGCCCAGCCCACTGTGAGACACCGTCCCTAGGCAGGTGGGCATGAGCTGAATAAGAAAAGTAGCTAAGCCAGCCAGAGGAGAGTCAGCCAGTACGCACCGTCCGGCTGTCCCCAGCTTTACTGCCTGCTTCCAGGTTCCTACTTCCAGGCTACTGGCTTCCCTTAATGTAGGAAACAAGGATCTCACTCCATAGTAACAAATTCAAGAGGAGAGTAATGACAATGAAGCCAGTTTTAGAATACCAGCCTGCAGAAAGGGAACCAGCGTGGAGACAGGCAGAAGCTGGTGCAAGACTGAAGTCTAAAGCCCCTGATCTCGAGAAACCATTCTTTTTCCCATCAGCTACTGACCGAGGTGCATGATCTTTCTAAACTAGACTGTCTAGTCAAAGATTATATCTACCTCTGTGCACACACACATGTATTTACAGATTTGACACAAAGCCTTAGTTAATGACTCTTCTGGGGCTGTCGCATAGCAGACCCCTGCAGCTTCCCAACTCTGACAGTTCTAAGACAAGCAGGTAGCGCCTGGATGACAGGGCAGCACCTCTTGCTGTTCTGTGACTCTTTGAGCTCTGAATGCATCCCATACTGAAAGTGGACCGGAGTGATCTAGTCCTCATACTGGCGCTGGAGTGTTACCTGGAGTGTAAGCCCAATGAACCCTTTCCTCCACAGGCTGCTTTGGTCTTGTTATTTACCACAGCAATAGAGAAACAAATTACAACAGCTGTATCCTGTAGAGGAGTACGGAAATCAGAGGAGATGGCACAGTGATGCCCAGGCTTCTGTCTCTCTCCTCCCTGCTTTGTTGCCCAACTCCCGCTGGAGGGCACCTGACAAGAGCGTCCTGTCCACTCTGAGCCGCTGTGCGTGTGGACCACAAGCTCTAGGCTAGCTCTGTCTACATGCCGTGGAGGTGTTAAGTTTTCCCAGCACCACTATCTTTGCTTGTGAGACAAGGACAGCATTGTACTCACAGTGAAGTGACCCATGGGGAGAGATCAGAGCAGTGCCTTGGTGAACTATCGTGTGCACACAAGCTTTCTTCTGAGCACCCATTCAGGAATTGTGTGCATGAGCTTTCTTATCCATTCAGGAATTGTGTGCACAAGCTTTCTTATCCATTCAAGAATTGTGTACATGAGCTTTCTTATCCATTCAGGAGTTGTGTGCACGAGCTTTCTTCTGATCATTCAGGAATTGTGTACATGAGCTTTCTTATCCATTCAGGAATTAATTGTGTACATGAGCTTTCTTATCCATTTAGGAATTGTGTGCACGAGCTTTCTTATCCATTCAGGAATTGTGTGCACGAGCTTTCTTCTGATCAGATTATCCTTTGGGGATTTTCCAAGGCTGAAGACAACTTTCAGGAATTGTTTCTTTTCTTTTCCCTTGGAGTCCTGGGCCTGTTGCTGGCTTGTTGTTTTCTGTCTGAGATAGGCTCTCACTATATACCTCAGGCTGGCCTTAAGCTGTGGACTCTCCTCCCTCCATTTCCTGGAATGCAGTATTTACTCATAATGTGTAATGGGTTTCATGGGTTAAAAAATAATCAAGTGATTGAAGAATAAATGTGGACTAACAGCATTGACCCAGGTGTATTATCTCTCTAAACTTTATAATATCTAGTCTAAAGATTTATTCTATATGCGTATATGCACATTCATATATATATATATATATATATATATATATATATATATATATATATATTCTGACTAAAGAATGTGCAGGCTGGGAAGGAGAATTACTACATAAAATGGTTATTTTCTTGTTCCCTAATGAAAATAGTAAGGAAATATAAGAGGACCTCAGGGAAGCTGATTCTGTGTTAGCAAGAGGAAGAGGGCTATTTCCTGAAAGCAGAGTTAACGTGACGTTGTCTGTCCTAGGTTCTCTCCTTCTTCTTCATTGGCCTGATGTCCATGATGATTCCCCTGTGCAGCGTCTTCGGAGCCCTCATTGCTGTCTGCCTCATCATGGGTCTCTTTGACGGATGCTTCATTTCCATCATGGCACCCATTGCCTTTGAATTAGTTGGTCCTCAAGATGCTTCCCAGGCAATTGGATTCCTACTTGGATTCATGTCTATACCCATGACTGTAGGTCCTCCTGTTGCAGGTAAATATAACAATTCTTCTATAGTAATTATACTAATTAGTAGCATTTTCTACTTTGGATCCTAACCCTCATTTATTTGTGAGATATATTATTAACAGTCCTTTGTGAGCTTTCTCCATCTCATTTTTCTTGTTTGTTTTTTTGTTTGGAGTTTTTGTTATTGTTGTTTGTTTCTTTGTTTGATAGTTTTTCAAGACAGAGTTTTTCTGTGTAACCCTGGCTATTCTAGACCTCATTCTATACAGCAGGCTGGCCTCGAACCCAGAGATCTGTCTGCCTCTGCTCCTGAGTGCTGGGATTAAAAGAGGTGCATCACTGTCTTCTGTCTCCACATTTTTAATAAGACCATCTGTTGACAGTAGATTGAAAACGTTTGTTCGTTGGGGAACATTCTGCGAGTGTGTGTTGGGGAGGGGAAGGGGTTTTTTAAGTTTAGGGCCTTGTACATACTAAGCAAGAACTTGCCACTGAGCTACATTCCCAACAAACTACTACTTGTTGGGGCATTCTGGATGTTGAAACTTGGTCATTGGGTATAGTAAATACATACTCTTCCATTATGATATGCATTTAGCCTCTGCTTTTTCACGGTTCTGTTAGTATATATGTTAGACACATGGAAACATAAAAATGAAGATTCTGATAGATTTCTAAGCTTATACTTCTTTTACATAAGAAAACATACCCCTTGAAAAATGGTTGAAGAAAATTACATCTAGTGGAGAGAACTTGACTGTCCATCAAAACATAAGTATAAAAATAATGTGGTGGTACAGACCTATAATATCAATATTCAGGAGGCTGAGGCAGGAGGAGAGCTGCAAGTTCAAGACCAGCCTGGCCTACATAGTGAGTCCTAGGAGAGCTGGGACTACATATAATAAGATTGACTCCAGTCAGTCCATAGCCAAGAAGTAAAACCCAAAATATATCACTCGTGCAGTGTAGGGATACATACTATTCAGCCATTAAAAGTGGTAGAGAGGGACACTGATACACGCCACCAGGTGAA